GGGAGTGCCATGGCGTCAGCCTAGCTCACAGCAACCTCAAAGCAATCCTACTATCTCAGCCTCCCGAGTAGCTGGGACCACAGGCACGCGCCACCATGCCCGGCTAATTTTTTCTACATATATTTTTAGCTGTCCAATTAATTTCTTTCCATTTTTTGGTAGAGACGGGGTCTCGCTCTTGCTCAGGCTGGTCTCGAACTCCTGAGCTCAGAACGATCCGCCCGCCTCGGCCTCCCAGAGTACTAGGATTACAGGTGGCTCGGGGCTGGTCTTGAGACGGACACCTGGTCACTGCAGGCCAGGGGATAAAGGGTGCTCTGGGGCCTTGGGGGGTGAAGTGGAGGAGTTGTCGCAGGGAGACATTTAAGCGGGGTCTCCGCGGAAGAACAGGGGTTTGCAAGAGGATGGCGAGAGGTGGGCAAAGCGAATTAGAGCTGGAAGTAAAGAATAAGGAAACGCAGTGTAATGGGAGACGTCGAGTGGCCGAGCATGCGGCGCGAGGCGAGGATTGGGGTATGACGCGCCAGGCTGGGCAGCACGTTGGCCGTCGTACTGTAGTTTGGATTTATCTCCCAGTCACCCGGGAAAGACACAATACTGCCCTAACTCTCGGGTTGCCCCGGACCATACTGACAACGTTGGGTGCGCTGGTGCGACACCAGGGAAGGCAGCCAAAATCCCCCCGGCTGGAGCGGGGGAGGGGGTGCTCCTAGCTGGGGACCCGCCAGTCCCTGTACCGAGTCCCCGGGAGCGCTGGCTTTGGGCAGAACCATTCTCCGGAGATGGAGAGGGGAGGAGAAATCCTTCCCTCCGACCCCAACGCGGAACCACTAGAACCTGCACTTGGCTCTTCTTGCTCTTCTTTTCTCTTTGTGCCCTGTCCCATCACCACTAGCTCCCTCCCTCGAGGCCCTGAGTCCCACACCACTCGTTGCTCCTCGGCCACCCCCGTCCCCACGCGTGGTGCGGCCCGGCGGGCGCCCGCTCGGCGCAGGTTATAAAGGTCCGGCTGCGGCAGCGGACTGCGGAGTCGAGATGCGCCCGAAGGAGCTTGGGCAGAGCTGCGCTGGGGACCCGCCGGGGCCGGGACGCGGACCCGGGGACCCCGCAGCGGTCACCCCTACTCCCCCGCCCGCAGCCAGTCCGGCTCCAGAGCCCTCTGCCGAGTCCGAACCCGCTCCCGCGCAGGCACCGCGGGTTGCACAGGGAGCAGGATCCGGAGCAGCCTCCGGATCCCAATCTGCCTCAGAAGCCGCCACCGGAGCTCGCTCGGCGTCCGAGGCTGGAGCCAAGCGGAATGCCCAGTCCGTGCCCGACAACTCGGATGCGCCATGGACTCGCTTCGTATTCCAAGGGCCCTTTGGTCCCCGGGCCACTGGCCTGGGGACTGGAAAGGCAGCCGGCATCTGGAAGACGCCAGCCGCCTACATTGGCCGGCGGCCCGGGGTCACCGGTCCTGAGCGTGCCGCCTTTATTCGGGAGCTGGAGGAAGGTAAACTGGGTCCCAGGGATCCTGGGGCGCGTGGGACTAGGGCAGCTCCAGGGAGGAGGGGCCCCCGTGGGGTCCAGGCGCCCCGCCCGCTCTGGCCCCCAGTGCCACCTCTTCACCATCTGCGCGATGTCACTGCGGTGCCTGTCTGATGGACCCTTCCCCACCCCCTCCTCCCCTCTGCTGTTCCCTGGTTTCTGTCGGTGCGTCAGGTCCGGGGCCCGCGCGCTCCCTCGCCCCCTCTGCGCGCCTGTTGCTGCGACAGATCTGCGCACTCTCGGCGCCCCCCTCCCCGGTCTACCGCAGTGCCAGGAGAGGGGCGGGGGGCTGCGGGAGGGCGCTGCCAGCTGCGCTCTGAGCCTGCGCTGGGCCTGGCTCGCCTGCGACAGAGCGGTGGGGGTGGGCGGACCGGGAGGTTTTCCTCCCCTTTGGCTGCGGGAGTCAAGGTCCCGCTCCCTCTGCCTCCTCTTCTCTCCCATCCTCTTCTGGGTCGGGGGAGATCTCTGGATTGGGTCTAGAGGCTCCGGTGCCCCCTAGTCCGATGCTGGAGAAGTCTTCCTGCTGTCCTCTCCATACGCAACAGGTGCAGGGTGGGTGACTGCGTCTGTTTTTATGACCCACGAGGCTCCACTGAGCTGGCTAAGCTGCCCGCTGGGTGAGGGGTGATGAGTCAGTCTGCTGCTGTACTTACTCTTACTCCCAGCTGCCTCCGCTCTCCTGGGTGCCAGGGACCCAGGCGTCCTGAGAGCCCAGTTCCTGAGTCCGGAGGACTGTGATCCCCTTACTTCACTCAGGCCCCTTCAAAAAAAAACCAAAAAAACCAAAAAAAAAGCCCAGTCCCATTGGCCCTGGGAGCAGGGCAGGGAGTGCTGAGTGCTGGGGGTAGGGAGGATGTTGGGGGTGGGGAGGGAGCCCCAGCTTCTCTCCTGATGACCCCTTTTGGAGAACTGGGGATAGGGCAGGAAACAGTGGGTTGCCAGGTAGAATATGCCCCCTTTTTCCTGACCTGACTGGGCCTTTTCTCCCCACCTGCCTCCTCCTGCAGCGCTGTGCCCTGACCTACCTCCGCCAGTCAAGAAGATCACTCCAGAAGATATCAAAGTGATGTTATATTTGCTGGAGGAGGTGGGTACTGCCTTCTCAACCTTGGCCAGGCCCCGCTTTTAATTCTGTCCTGTATGGCTAGGTGTCTTGTCCGTTTCCTGCCTGGTTACCTCTCTGGGGGCCAAGCTGGGGTTCCCTCTTATGGAAGGCAGGTAGATGTGGGATGTTCAGGCTGGAAGAGCTCTCAGAGCCAATCTGGTCTGATCTGCTCTTTTTCCATAAGGGGAAACTGAGTTAGTTTCCACAGTGGGTTCATGACAGACTCTGGTCTAATACCCTGGACAACTAGGAGTTGGGGAGGGTTTCTCCCAGGGGCCTAGCCTCCCTCTGACCTCTGGGTCCCCCTAGCTTCTCACACCGGTCTGGGAGTTCCTGGAAACCGGAAAAGTATTAGGGAAAGTATTACCCATGGGTGGTGGTCCCTCTGCAGAGAGAGCGGGACCTGAACACAGCAGCTCGCATCGGCCAGTCCCTGGTGAAACAGAACAGCGTTTTGATGGAGGAGAATAGCAAGCTGGAAGCCATGCTGGGCTCAGCCCGGGAGGAGGTAACTGCCAGGGGAGGGGAGGGGAGGAGCGAGGCCAATCTACATCCTCCCCCTGGCCACTCTCAGCCACGCTCCTCTCTCTTCTTGCCAGATTTTACACCTCAGACACCAGGTCAACCTGCGGGATGACCTCCTTCAGCTCTACTCAGACTCCGATGAGGAGGATGAGGATGAGGATGAAGAAGAGGAGGAAGAGGAGGAAGAGGAGGAAGAAGAAGAGGAGGAACAGGAGGAGCAGGAAGAAGAAGAGCAGGAGGAGGAACAGCAGTGTGATCACGCCTATGATGTCCCTAAGTCGTGAGTGTCCTGCCTTTGCAGCTGGCTGGCCCCTTTTCTGAAACGATCCTCAGCGCGACCCTCTTTGTAAAGAGGGACACAGGCAGCAGGGCTGCTGGAAGGTTGCTGGGACTAATTGACACCACCACCCTTAGTCCTGGGGGGAAGCTCACTCCCTGCACCCTGACTCCATTACTGCCTCCCCAGGACTCCCAGGGAGGCGAGACACCACTGCAGGCAGCTGGAAGCCCTGCAGCAGAGGCTGAGGCTGCTGGAACAGGAGAACCACCAGCTGAGAGAGGAGGTGAGGAAGAGGGAGGAGGGGTACCCGGGAGCAGGGGGTGTTGACTCCCCACCCCTTCCTCTCTCTCTCCTTCCAGGCCTCTCAACTCGACACCCTGGAGGATGAGGAGCAGATGCTCATTCTGGAATGTGTGGAGCAGTTTTGTACGTAATGTTGTAACTTAGGGTAGAGGGCTGTCCCGAGGAGTGCAGGGAAGAACTCAGGATTTGGAGTCTGGTCTGAGTTCAAGGCCCAGCTCTGGTACTTCCTAGCTGCGTAAGCTCGGACAAGTTCTTTGACCTTTCTGATCCTTCATCTTTAGGATAGGGATGAATGAGCTCAGCCTCACTGATCTCTCCTGGGTTTACTTGGATCAAAAGAGGTAACAGCTAGGGAAGTGCTTTGTGCAAACTGTAAAGAGCTCTACAGAAGCCATGGGTCTCCTTTAAGCCTTTCTCTTGTTATTTGGGGGAGTCAGGAGGGAGCCATAAGCTGCCAGAGACCAGGCACCCAGAGCTGGGGCAGTTTAGAGTCATGTATTGGGCAGTGGCTGTGCCTGGCATCATCCTAGGCACCATGGGTGGGGAGAGTGATGAATGAGGCATAGCGATGGTCTCTGAGGATTCAAGTCTAGCTGGTGAGTTGCAGACTCAAAGTGGCAACACCTGAACTCATGCTGGTCCCCTCTCCCCACCCTTGCCCTTCTTTCCCTCTGGGTTTTGCAGCTCCCTGAATGGCCCCACTGGTCCCCAGGCCACTGGATTAGGAACCAGTCCCCAAGTTCTGTTGCTTCTGCCTCCTAGGAATGGCTCAAGTCTCTTTACTCCTCCTGACTCTGGCTGTCTCTAGCCCGGACACTTCTTAACTGGTCTCCCTGCTTCTACTCATACCCGTCTAGGCCCTTCTGCACACAGCCCAAATGAGTTTCTAAAACCAAATCTGGCTGGGTGGGGCAGTACGTACCTGTAGTCTCAGCTGCTTGGGAGGCTGAGGCGGGAGGATCACTTGAGCTCAGGAGTTCTGGGCTGGAGTGTGCTATGTGAATCAGGTGTCCACACTAAGTTTGGCATAATATGGTGGCCTCCCAGGAGCAGGGGACCACCAGGTTGCCTAAGAAGGGGTGAACTGGCCCAGGTTGGAAATGGAGCAGGTCAAAACTCCCGTGCTGACCAGTAGTGGGATCGCGCATGTGAATAACACCGCACCCCAGCCTGGGCAACATAGCAAGATCCCATCTCCAAGAAAATAATATAAAATAAAATCTGACCATGTCTCTCTTCCACCTAAAACCTCCAAATAACTTCCTACTGGCCAAAAGATAAACCCCAACCTCGTACCTGGCCTGTGTGATCTGGGCCTGCCCAGCGCCCCAGCACTCCCCAGTGGTTTAGGTCACTTCTGGGCCTTCCCACACTCAGCTGGGGCCTGTGTCTTCCCTTCTTTGCCTGGCATTGCTCACTTGCCCCGTGGTCTTAGCTTACTGGGTGGCTCCTTTGTCCAGAATTCCTTCCTAGACCTTGCAAGGCTGGGTTGAGCGCCGCAGTTGTGGCCCCTTGCCCCCATATGCCCTTGACACTTGCTCCCTTATAGCCCATGTTATTCAGTCTTGTACTCTGTCTCCTCATTAGACTGGAGCACAGCGTGGGTGGGACCAGGTCTTGTTGACCACTCGCCCCAGTGCCCTGCTCAGTGTAGTCAATAAACATTTCTTGAAAAGAATCCCTGAGTGAGGAATGCTAAGTCCTGTGGGGACTGCTGGGATCCACAACAGCCAAGGGTGGGGCAGGCGGAGGCCTCTGGGGAGGGCCAGATGGGTCCCCAGAGGCCAGGGGAGCCAGGGCTGACCTCCCCCTCCCGCCCCCCAGCGGAGGCCAGCCAGCAGATGGCCGAGCTGTCGGAGGTGCTGGTGCTCAGGCTGGAAAACTATGAACGGCAGCAGAAGGAGGTCACTCACCTACAGGCCCAGGTCATGAAGCTGCAGCAGCGCTGCCAGTCGGTGAGACGGCGTGGGTAGGACCCTCCTGGCAGAGCGGGATCTGAGCCTCCTTCTCCTGCCCCCACCTCACAGCTCTGCCAGGCCCAAGGCCCTTCTCTGTGTCAGAGTCAGAGTTGGGGGAGATCTCAGAGAGTCCCCTATCCTGCCCCCTTGTCCCAGGGAGGGGACCAAGGCCCAGAGAGGGTCCCAGACTCTTCTAGAACCCAGGCCATGTGACTCCATGCCTTATTTGCCCTCATTCCATGTGACTTCTTACTTCCATGGCTGCCAAAGACTCACTGATGTGTCTGCGGGAGACTGGCGGGAGGCAGGGGGTGCCTGGGACTGCGGGGGCCTCTGATGGGGGTTCATTGGTGTTGGGTCCTTCCAGTACGGGATTGAGACTGAGAAGTTGCAGCAGCAGTTGGCTTCGGAGAAAGAAATCCAGATGCAGCTCCAGGAAGAGGTGAGGCTCCCCCTGGGCTCCTGCCCCTCCCTTGCGAGCCCCTGGCCCAGAGCGGGGACCTCAGGCCCTTGGCAGCCGCCTGACTCTCTGGAGAGGACGAGCAGATTGCAGGCAGGGACTGGGTCTGTCCCTTTCTACCCCCTCCAAGTCTGGCACGGCCCAGCAGGTGGCAGTTCAGTTGAAGTGAGTGGAGTGGAGTCCAGGGTCCTGCCCAGGCTCCCCTGCATGACACTCTTTGGGTCTAGAACTGGGGCCTCCTGCCCCTTGGCCTGGAGAGAGGGTAGGCAGGAGAGCGGGGCTGGGTGGGCCTGGGTCCCAACAGAGCCTGCGGGCGGGTTCCCAGCTGCAGGACCTGCGGGAGAAGTACACGGATGGTGGGGGCATGCTGATTGAGACCCAGGAGGAGGTGAAGACCCTCCGCCAGCAACCCCCGGTGTCCACTGGGTCTGTCACCCACTACGCGTACGGCGTGCCTCTGGTGAGGACCCTCCCCTGGACGCCCACCTCTTCACCTCTGTGTGCCCGTGTCCCGGCTCTGCTGGCTGATGGGGATCCTCAGTCCCCTTCTGTGCCTGGGACTAGGGGTGGGGGTTCTGCAGGGTCCTCTGGTAATGTCCCCCGTCTCCACTGTAGCAGGCACTTCCTAGTTTCCAGGAGACCCTGGCTGAGGAGCTCAGGACGTCGCTGCGGAGGATTATCTCAGACCCTGTGTATTTCATGGAGAGGTGCGCGGCTCGGGCCCCTGCCTGCGCCTGCCCAGTAGGCAGCAGCCTCGCTATGGGGGGAGGGGCGTTGCCTCGTGCTCTGACCTCCCGTGCTTCCGTGCTGCCCCCTCCTCCGCTTCCCTACACCCACCTTGGTGGCTGCCCTGGCCCCTTGCATCCGTCACTGTTCTCCATTTACTCGATCTCGGGCCCATCACTTCTCCCTGAGATTCTTCCGCGTGACCGGGCTCCGGGGACTCTGCAGTTCCGGCTTCCACTGTCTCAGGACACTGAAGGTCCTTTTCTCTGTTGAAGGAATTATGGGAGGCCCAGAGGGGAGACGTCAAACCTGAGGTAAGCTGACCAGGGGACCCCTCATCACCTGTCCTTACCTTTCGGCAGCCATACAGCCACCTGCCGCTGGTTCTGCCTCCCCGCAACCGCGGAGAAGGCCCACTGTCTGGGCTGGCTGGGCGGAGAGTTGTTCTGGGAAGGAGTGGTCACTTTTTCCTTCAGATCTTGCCTGCTAGGTGGCTGTCTGATTTAAGGCTGCTCCGAGTGGGGACCAAAGCTTTTCCTTCACCCGAGCAGGGGCTGAGAGGCAAATGGGCACTGGCCCAGGAGCTGGGAACACCTGGGACCGAGTCCCAGCTTGGTCCCTTAATTGGCTGTGTGTCTTTGGGCAAGTCACTTGACCTGTCTGAGCCTTACTAAAAATGGATTTGTTCCTATGGTAACTAGATGTGGGGTGGGCTGTGAAAGTTAAACAATGAAGGAAGGAGGCAGAGGGGGCATTGTCCCTGCTGGACTCTTTTGTGCAGCAGGGTGGGGGATGGAGGGGTAGGCAGGGCCTATGTGGTGTTGGTGACCGTTCTTCCTCCCTCCCTCCAGGGGCATGGGCTGGTACCCAGCTCACCCTTGCCCCTGGCAGAGACAGAACTGGGAGGAACTGTCAGGGTCTGGGTGCAGACCTGGGGTAGGGCGGGCCTGGTGGTTGGACTTTCCTCCGTAGCTCCATGGGTAAGAGCAGTCCTAGGGGCAGAAGCAGAGGGTGGCTGGGTGCTCTGGCTGGTGTCAGCTCACAGAGGGATGGAAAAGCTCTTCTGTTTCCCTGCCCAGATATGATCTTTGCTACAGTGAGGAGCGAGAGCAGGAACAGGGGTTCGAGGCGGAGGAGGGGTCGATGGCGGCAGAGGATGTCGAGCCGGCGGAAGATTTCGTGCCTGCGGAGGAGCTGGTGCTGGAGGAGGAGCTGGGGGCCACAGAAGAGGTGCTGGCTGAGGAAGGGGTAATGGACGAGGGAGAGCTGGTATCAGAGGAGACAGAGGCGTGGGAAGAGGTGGAGCCGGAGGTGGATGAGGCCACGAGAATGAACGTGGTGACCTCGGCCCTGGAGGCCAGCGGCTTGGGCCCTTCGCACCTGGACATGAAGTATGTGCTCCAGCAGCTGGCCAATTGGCAGGACGCCCATTACAGGCGGCAGCTGAGGCAGAAGATGCTCCAGAAAGGTGAGTGCTCCCGCGGGGGCCTCCCTCCAGGCAGCCGGACAAGCTGCAGATCCTCAAGCCGATGAAAGGTGAGGGTGGGTGAGCCCCCCCACGTGCTCACTTGCCCCAGCCTGGCCCCACCCAGTGTTCTGATTTGCATGGACTTTGCATATCATTTGAATAGGCACCTCAGGTCCCTTTCAGCGGGAACTGTGGCCCCAGTGCTCGTTTTTGTGGAATTTGCTTAGGATTCCAGATCTCCACCCACTTTTCTCCTGGGGGCTGGGCTGGGGGTCAGGGTCGGGACTATTCCCCCCTACCATCCCCCTGCACCTCAGCTTCCTGTCTCTGCTGCCCCCTTCCCCTGCCCTCCACCCCCATCTCCCCTGTCCCCAAGGCTCCCCAACCCTGCAGCAGTGTCAGCAGCAGGCCAAAACAAACATGGGGGGTGGGATCAAGGGGTAGTGGCTGGGGGTGCCAACTCAGGACTTTCAGAGGCTGGGGGAGGACAGGGCTGGCCACCCTCCCAGGGCTTGGGAGGAAGAGGGGCCTTCTGGGGTCACCCAGGCCACTGGGACAAAGGCCTCTGCCAGCAAGGGCCACAGTCGGACCAATCTCCTGGGTGAGTCTGAAAGTGGGCCAGGGTCTCCTACAGAGTGGGGGCGGATCAGGGCTCCTCTCCCCAGCCAGAAACCCCAGTGTTTGGGCACATCACCTGCTGAGTGCAGGCCTTGTGAGCGCTGCCATTGAGGAGCTCACAGTGACATCAGAGATGATCTAGCGATGCTCGTGCACGTCAGACCCTTTGCACTTGCATTAGCTCCTTTGATCCTCGTGCCCTGTGGGTAGGTATTAGCATCCCCATTTCTTAGTTGAGGAAACAGGTTCAGAGAGCTAAGTGACTTGTGCAAGGTCACACAGCGAGGGGGAGATCTGAGCCTGTCCTCTTCGCTACTGTGTCGTATCTCCTTCCCTGGCCCATCCGTCCTCTCTGATGCTGTCCTGGTGCCCTACCTGGCCTGCTGGGTCAGCTCTGAAGTTTATAACTTGTTGGCACCCTCCATTATATCTGCCCTGTCCCCATTTTAATGACCCTTTGGTTACCGCTGGGTGGAATAACACTGGCCTCATTAGGGCCACTATGTAAGGCTGTGCAGGTTGTAAACTGAGCTTTATGGCAGTGAGCAATCTGCGTAACTGTCAATGGTGGCTTTTGGCCCCCTTCTGATGTGGCTGACCAGACCCCTGCCCGCTGCCCAGGCCGGGCCTGTGGTCATCAGTCTCCCCGTTCACATCCACCCCCTTCTCTTCCAGGCTTTGCTGTTTCCCAGCAGCCTGCAGAGGCCCCACAGACAGCTTGAGGCCCCTCCTTCCGCTGCCTGGCCAAGTCCCACCCACCCCAGACCCTCCTTCCTTTCCTCTGAAATGGGACCCCATGTCTGTCACCAGCCCAGTCTCGGTCCTGATGAACCTGGGCCGCAGCCTAAGGGCCCAAGCCTCGACCCTCTTCTGGGACAGGCTGAAGGAGCCCTGGCCCTTGTGCTGCAGCTGGTGCACAAGTTGTGGCTGCTGGGCCTGGATCACACGGTGGCCCGGGGGCAGAAGCAGCCCAGGGGGAGGCCCACTGGCTACCAGACCCGGCTCTGAGGTGGGACCAGCCTGAGCTGGGGTGGGGGCTCGGGTCCCAGGTGTAGGAAGCTGTGAGCACCCTCCTAGCGACATACTCCTCACCCCTTGACCCTACATTAAAGGCGGCTTGTTGACTTTAGGGACCTGGCCCTCTGCCCTGTTCTTCGTCCTTTCTTCTCAGTCCCTGATCACTGTAGCCACAGTGTTTCTACATGTGGGTGGGCGAGGGGTCCCTCTGCCCAGTGGTGTGTCTCACCTCCTTCCCCACCACTGGTGGCCCGAGAGTGTCCGGGCTCCCCGCCTGAGGTCCAGCCCCTCCCTCCTACTGTCCTCCCTCACGACCCTTGTTTCCTTATTCTAGACGTTCTGCCCTTTCCCTCCGCTTTGCTCATGAATAGCTGAGGTCTGGTGCTCAGGCCTCCCGTTGGTGCCTGACGCATTCCCCACAGCGCTTCTCAGTCTCTTCTTGCTTGTCAACCCCTGTACGTGCCAGCGCGGGAAATAAAGGATTTGTGCGCTAACGGGCCCCGCCTCCAGCGTCTTTCTCAGGGAGCGTGTGCGTGCGTGTGCGTGCGTGTGCGTGTGGGTGCACGCTCTGCCGGGCAACGCGGTGGAGAAAGGATGGACCCTGATGTTGAATGACACGCCAAGGACTTGCATTCAATATGCCATTTCCGCATGTCCCCAACCCCTGTGAGGTGGTAAGTGACATGATCAGTATTTGTCAGACGGTGAAACTGAGGCCCGGGCAGGGTAAGTGATCCTGCTGTGTGTCTACCAGCTGGTGCGGAGCTGGGACTTGAGCGCAAGTCCTTGGGACCGTGTAGGCTCTCTTTCCTGACCCTGTCTGCCCCTGGGATGCTGACTGTGGCTGTGAAGGGTAAGGCAGGAGTGAAAGTCACCCACTGTCCTAGGTCGAGGTCCCCCAGAAGCAGACCTGGAACAGGGTTTGAGAACGAGTACGGTTGGCCTCTGTATCTGTGGGTTCTGCCTCCAGGGATTCAACCAACCACAGATCAAAAATATTTGGAAAAAACAAACAATTAAACAATAACACGACATAATACAGATGAAAACAATCCAGCATAACAGCTGTTTATGTAGCATGTGCATTGTATCAGGTATTATAAGTAATCTCGGGATGATTTAAAGTGTACAGGAGGATGTGCATAGGTTATATGCAGTTACTGCACCATTTTATGTCAGGGACTTGAGCGTCCAGGGATTTTATTATCTGAGGGGCGGTTTGGGCACCGTATGTCACAGTCCTCTCCTTGTGCCATACGAGTGGGGCAAGACTCAGATGAATTCAAGCTCCATGTGGAGCTCACTCTGGCCTGGCATTGCTTCTTTAGGATGGTGGCTGGGCTCAGTATCTTAAAAAAAGACAGCTGGAGGGTGAATGTTATAGGCCGTTATAGGTCAGGAGTTTGAGACCAGCCTGAGCAAGAGCGAGACCCTGTCTCTACAAAAAATAGAAAAGTTAGCCAGGCGTGGTGGTGCACATCTGGAGTTCTAGCTACTCAGGAGGCTGAGGAAGGAGGATCCCTGGAGCCCAGGAGTTCGAGGTTGCAGTGAGTTATGATGATGACACTGCACTCTAGCCTGGACAACAAAGCGAGACCCTATCTCAAAAAAAAAAAAAATTCTCCACGTTTTGTGCTGCTTAAAGCTCCACCTACTTCCTCTTCCCCAGAAGTCTTTGCCTCTGATTTTCTAACCTTGCTCCTACCAGTGCCCTGATCACTTGGGCAAACTGTGTGCCACTGCCCAGGAGCCCGTGTATGTCCTTCCCCGAGGCCACTTTTCCCTCTACACCATGCCGATGACCAGGTGTACTACTCAGAACTTCAAAACTTCACCCACCAGAAGGATGGCCCCTCACCATGTTCAGGGTCACCTGTGAGTGAGGCCAGGGTTCAGCAGCAGTTTTCAGGTTTTACCAACATGTCAAGCCTGCCCGTATATAAACCAGGACTGGATCTTTCCTCCTTTATGAGCTGGTCATAGGGACCTCTAGTGAGGCCACGGGGGAGCTGAGGGAGAAGCACAGATGCCGTAGACGCAGGTGACCTGAGGACGTGGGTAACCATGCCCTTTGGACCTTCTCAGGCCCAATCTTAAATGTACCATTTCCACCCTGCAATGGATTGCTGATTTGTTCACGCAACCTTACGACATGGTGGGTCTGGAATGCCCAGCTTGTGATGAGCGGCTCTGGTTGCATAGTAATTTGTCCATTGGTCAATTCCCTGCTAGGCCCAGTAGCACCAGGCTAGAGTGCCGTGGCATCAGCGTAGCTCACAGCAACCTCGAACTCCTGGGCTCGGGTGATCCTCCTGCCTCAGCCTCCCGAGTAGCTGGGACTACAGGCACGTGCCACCATGCCTGGCTAGTTTTTTCTATTTTTAGTTGTCTGGTTAACTTTTTTTCTGTGTTTAGTAGAGATGGTGTCTCACTCTTGCTCAGGCTAGTCTCAAACTCCTGACCTCAAGTGATCCTCCCCCCTTGGCCTCCCAGAGTGCTAGGATTATAGGCGTGAGCCACCGCACCTGGCCACACCCTTGTATTCTTTAAGTCTTAAGGACCAATGCTTATTTCCGCCACTTCACGGGGATGTGGTATTGCCCGTGCGAGGGCAGCTCTGGGAACTTGCACTTGGCCCTTCCCACCATGACACCTCTTAGTCCAAATGACAGGGAATTAATGTGAGGGTTCTGCCAGCTGTCAAATATACCCATCCAAATTATGCACTCATGGCTCAGGGTAATGACCACAAGGCGTATCCAAGGACCCACTGGACCTACCGTGAGACATACACTGTACTCCACCTGTCACCTGGCCTTTGAACACTCCCTCTCTAACATGAGCAGAGGAAGGATGGCATTTTGGGTTCTCTGGTGTGTCAGCTCAGGCCCTGCACACAAGGGCTTTTGAAATATCTGAATGTGATTCTTCCCCCAGTGTACAATGACACTGATGAGTGGCTGGCTCTGGGAACCGATGCAGATTTGGAAACCAGGCAAGGGATCATGATTTTCCATTCTGGCAGCTGATATCAGCCTTTGGCTCATCTGCTCCTGATCTGTTTTAGTTGTGAGGTCGAACAATACCCTCACTGGCCCCCCTCATGTCTCACTCCTAGGAACATGGTGGCATAAGTCACCACTGCAAATCCTAGGACTTGAGGCCTCCTGGTCACCATTTTCATCTTGCCCACCTTGCCACAGATGGTTAACTGCTGCCACCTGCCCTCCCCTGTTCTGCACTCCTGTCATCCCTACTGCCACTAGGCAGCCCAGGTCCACAGTAGCATCCCCTACCTCAATGCTGGTCTGGATCTTTGTGGGTTGAATTGTGGCCTCCCCCTCCATTTGTATGTTGAAGTTCTAACCCCCAGTTCCTCAGAATGTGACCTTCTTTGGGACTAGGGTCATTGCAGATGTAATTAAGATGAGGTCATTAGGGTGGGCCCTAATCCAATGTGACTGGTGGCCTTATACAAAGGGGAAATTTGGATATAGCCACTCACACGGGGAGAATGCTGTGTGAGGATGAGGGCAGAGATCTACAAGCCAGAGAACACCAAAGGTTGCCAGCAAGCCACCAGGAGCTGGAGGAGAGACACGAACAGATTCTCCCTCACGACCCTGAGGAGAAACCAACACTGCCAACACCTTGATCTCACACTTCTAAACTCCAGAACTGTGGAGACAATACATTTCTGTTTTTTAAGTCACCCAGTTTGTGGCATTTTGTTACGGCAGCCTTAGCAAATTAACACAGAAGACGGATTCTCAACAAAGATTTATGTTTCCTGACTAGTACGTTCCTTATATCCTCTGGGAAAGGAGTGGGTTTTGGATCCTTCCAGGGAACATAAATCCTTTGGTGGGTTCTCTTGTTTTATGTAATAATTCCATTCTTCGTGCCCACCTCCCAGCCTTTTGACCCTTTCCTCAATACTCTGCTGAGGCAATTTGAGCATCTTCAATGTAATTGTTGCAGACCATTGTTTTGTCCAAACTTCAAGGAGCCATCCCAGCAAGGCATTAGGACTGGCTCCAGGACGTTAAATCCTGAGTCATGGGAGAATGCTCCCTGTATCAACAAACTCTTCCCTGTCCAGCCATTCGACAGCTCTCCAGTCCACCCTCCTTGGTCTGTCAGCCTCAAAATCCATTCTCACATATGCTTTCCTGGCTCCTGCTGGTCTATATTCCCCAGGTCACTCAGGTCCTGCTGCGTTTCCAGGTGAGTAATCCCTTTTCCCCCTTTGTGGGATAGCGCTTCTTCACCTGCTAAGACTTGATGCTACTTTTTGGTGAGGAAACCCTGAAGGGAGGGGGTCACATCTTGAGGAGAAGCATCATCTTGTGGAGCATCTGCCTCAAGGAGGTCTTTGCAGAGTCTCCAGATATGGGGAAGCTGCTCTCTTCTGGCAAGGCGGAGGCTCTTCTTCCAGCCCAGAGGATTCAGAGAAACCTGGAAGTTGAAGATTCATAAGGGTATCTCCTCAAATGTTCCACCCAAGGTTTCGTGGTCCCACTCCTTTTGTTCTAGGACTTTAGCAGAGGAGACTTGCTGTGGTTCTGATTTCAGCATCTTTTGTCACTCTGCACTCTTACAATCAGATCTTAGGCTTGATTTCCGGCACAGTCTTCCCTTGCTGCAGTGGACGCTGTTTGACGTGCAAGCAATATCTTGAGTTGATAGTTAACTGGCTGTTTGACGTGCAAGCAATATCTTAAGTTGATAGATAACATTTTTCCTTCAGGGATTCTCTGATGATGAACAATAGCCAACCAACTCCACAGTTCTTATAATTATCATTGCTCTTCTCTCTCAAATGCTGAAGCGATTGCATAAGCCTGTGCCTCCTCTTACACCTTCCCATCCTAATTCCCCACCGATGAGAGTCCTAGTAATTGTGATGCTACAGCACTCCAGGGCTTATCAGCACCCCACTTAACACCTGCAATGGGATCTGGCCAGCGAAAGATCAAATTTCAGAATCCCATCACGTGGGTCTGCTTCCTACAACCCCTTCTGGTACCAACTACCGTGAGTTCCCCCAGGGGCAGACTTGGAGACAGAATTTTTTTGAGTGCAGGTAGTTTATTTGGGTGGTGACCCCAAGGAACAACAGTAAGAGAGAATGTGAGACAGGGAAGGAAAGAGAACCAATAAAGAATATCATTAGCTGGGCATGGTGGCACACGCCTGTAGTCCCATCCGCTCTGGAGGCTGAGACAGGAGGATCGCTTGAGCCCGGGAGCTCCAGACCGGCCTGGGCTACAAAGTGAGACCTTTTCTCTGAAAAAGAAAAGAAAGAATGTCATTGAGGGGGTTACTGCTGTGGCTGGCTGGGGTTCAGTCCTGCTGGGGAACGCTGGGAGACAGCAGAGTTTATCTTCATATTTGCTTTCCCACGGTGAGCCACTCTTGGAAGTTTGAAACTGCTTTTCTTTATCCTGTCACTTCTCTGCACATTTATTGTTCTTTGGCAAAGATGCTATTGTATATGAGCCTGAATTCCAAGCCCCCTCTCTGACTTGCTTATCTCTGGGTAACCCGTGTGCTAAAAGTGAGATATACACATGAATAAACGTGTTTGCTTTTCTCTTGTAATCTGTCTTTTATTACAGAGCCCCACCACGAACCTAAGGCGGGTAGAGAAAAAATTTCCTCTCCTACAGCCCCCAGGTGGAGGGTCGCCTGTGGCAGTGCTGTGGGCAGACACAAGAACAACGAGGGACCATGGGTGAGACGCTTACGGGTGCCTGCACCAGCCACTCACCCATCCATTTGACAATTGGGTTCCTCCTGTTCTTGTCACTGGGGATAATAGCAGGGAAGAGGGACATGCGGTCCCCACTCTCACAGAGTTTCCTGTTTAGCCCGAGAGGCAGACAATAAACTGCAAACGAAACAACTACAGATTGTGAAATGTGCTCTGTGCAAAATATTATGCTCTCGTGAGACAAAGTAACAAACGCTCAGCAGCCGTGTTTGCTCATTTCTGCCTGCCAACACAATTTCACAAAGCCCCCACTCTGTGACAACGTGCAGCTCTCCGGAAAGACGCTTTGAACACATAGCAGGATAGAGCACATGGCCCCTGTGTCTCTTGCCTGAGTCGCTATATTTCTTAAAAGATAAATGATCCTAGTCCTTGCTTTTTTCTACACATCAGATAACGTCTGCCAGGGCTAGTGATGATGCCCTGTGATTTATAACCAGATGTGCTCTTACACCCAAACGTGATGTGACTCTGCTTCAATGTAACTTCCGAGCGGGTTTGATGTGATTTTGCACGTACCTGAACCTCCACCACCTGTACGCAAGCAGCGGCTGAGATGCTGCGTGGTGCATGCCCCCGGCCTGTAGGTCTCGGTCTATAGTTCTCGGTAAGACTTCTGAAGAAAACCAACTTTAATTCTTTAAAAAGCTTGATTTTTTTTCTTTAGTTGACATTGTGACAGCGAATAGTGGGAGCTGGGCGCGGTGGCTCAGGCCTGTAATCCTAACACTCTGGGAGCCTGAGGTAGGAGGATTGTTTGAGTTCAGAAGTTTAAGACCAGCCCGAGCGAGAATGAGACCCCCCCCCACCCCGTTTCTACTAAAAAATAGAAAAAAAAAAAATTAGCCAGGCAATAAAAATAGAAAAAATTAGCCGGTCATGGTGATATGCGCCTGTAGTCCCAGCTATTTGGGAGGCTGAGGCAGGAGGATTGCTTGAGCCCAGGAGTTTGAGGTTGCTATGAGCTAGGCTGACACCATGGCACTCTAGCCTGGGCAACAGAGCAAGACCCCAGCTCAAAAAAAAAAAAGAATAGTGGGTTCTGTGTGAGGGGTAGAAAGGGTAGGTGTCTTAGGAAGAGGCATTTCAACCAAGACCCTGAGGAGAAAAAGGGGAGCCCCCCAACATCTGTGCCTGGGGAAGAGCATTCCAAGCACAGGGAACAGCAGGGACAAAGGTTCCGAGCAGGAAAGAACATGGTAAAAGGGAAAGGAAGACAGGAGGAAGAGGAGGAGGACACAGAGCTAGCTCTTCGAGCTTCGGCAGGGAGCCGAGGCTGTGTTCTAAGTGCAGTGAGGAGTGCTGGAAGGTTAAAACTAAGAGTGATGTGATTTATCTTTTAGAAATCTCGCTCTGTCTGTGGACCCCACCACCTACTCTCCCAGCCACACGTGTGGGTTCTTGTTCAGTGTGGGGCTCTGGGGACCCCGAGGGGAATTAGCCACAGTCCCTGTCTCAACCCCACCCCAACCCAGTCGCCCTCCCCTCCCTGTCCCATGGTACATGACACAATCCATAGATCCATTGGAAACTGGTTTATTTTTATTTGATTTTCACTGGAAAGGGCTGGGGTGGGTGAGAGGTGTCTGGGCTCTGAAGTCTGGTTCTAGGGACGTTGGTCCCCTTCCTCGGCACTGCGGCGGCCGAAGTCCATCCATCCGTAAGCTTCCTCTTCTTCCTCCAGCCATGGCCCCTGCTTCTTGGACAGGTCTGAGGAGATGAGAGAGGTGAGAATAGGGGAGGACACCTAGCTTCCAGGAACTGAGGTCAGCGCCAGTCTGGAGGGACCTTTGCCAGACCTGGCTGGGCGAGTTGAGCAGGGAGGGCAGTGAGCAGCTCCTACCTGCCGCGAGGTGTGGGGGACCCGGGGGCCCCAGCTGCCTTCGGTGGTGAGAGGCTGCACTCAGCTGGTCCCGCCAGTGCTGCTCCAGGTCCCTGTTGGCCACTGGACCCGAGGGCGCACCTGGCAGCTGGGAGTGGGGCTTCCAAGAAGCTTCAGAGAAGGCGGCCAGGGCCAGCGCAAAGATCAGCACGTACACACACAGTCGCTGCATCTTGTCTGCAAAGGGGAGAGGGGCCCTGCTTAAAGGTGGGGTTGTCCCCTCGCAGGCCCAGGGGCAGGGGGCTGGACCAGACCTGCTGACAGGTCTGCAATTCTGCGTGGGGTTGTGACAATTTCTTCAGTTTGGGTCGCCGGTTCCTACCAGCTCCAACCTGGCCCTCAAGCTGTATCTCCTTCCTCCTTACTTATCCCAATTATATCCACTTCTTCTCTTGGAGAACTTCAAAACCTATAGGAGTAATTTCCAAACTGTTCTGCAGAATTTGAGGCCATGTCAGCGGCTCTGTAGCTGTTTAAGTCTTGTAGTTTTTTTTTTGAGGCAGGGTCTTGCAGTGTTGCCCAATCTGGTCTCAAATTCCTGGCCTCAAAGCGATCCTCCCTCCTCAGACTCTCATGTAGCTGGGACTACAGGTGCATGCCACTGTGCCCAGCAAGTCTTGCAATTTACAGTGAACTTTAAATAGTAATACCAAAGGCACATACACACTCCACTGCCTACAGACCCCATGCTGTTATTTTGGAGAGTACTAGCACACTCAACGTGTAGCTGGGTCACACCATGTTGGTGCAGCCCTCAGAGGAAACGTTCTCTTGCCAGTTTTCCTTGACTGAGGAATAGCCTGTGATTGTAATTAAGCAGTTAAGAAAAAATTAAACTGCCACCATTTGCAGCTGTGTATGAGGGTGAATCAAGTTCAGGGAAACCATACTACAGAAGTGAACTGGATGCTCAAACAAACATACAATTCAAAAGCTCATCCTGGCCTGGCGCGGTGGCTCACGCCTGTAATCCTAGCTCTCTGGGAGGCCGAGGGGGGAGGATTGCTTGAGCTCGGGAGTTCGAGACCAGCTCTGAGCAAGAGTGAGACCCTGTCTCTACTAAAAAAGTAGAAAGAAAATAGCTGGACAACTAAAAATATATAGAAAAGATTAGCCGGGCACGGTGGCACATGCCTGTAGTCCCAGCTACTCGGGAGGCTGAGGTAGGAGGATCACTCGAGCTGAAGAGTTTGAGGTTGCTATGAGTGAGGCTGATACCATGGCACTCTAGCTCGGGCAACAGAGCGAGACTCTGTCTCAAAAAAAAAAAAAAAAAAAAACTCATCCATTCTCTGGATTCACGATTTTTATCTTCTTTTAGCCTCATCTTTCTGATTGGCTTTATCATAAATAAATGATAAAAATTTTCCCTTGTAAGACTATGTTAATAAATGCTGCTTTTAACTGTTTCGCATAATGAGGTTCTCTTTTAGTTTTCCTTTGGGAGGAAAATAATTCTGCTGCTAAGGAAACAGTTGAAAGATCCATGACCGAGGGCTGTGCCATCCGACAGGTGTTGTCCAATGTGGTAGCCACCAGGCACAGGTGGCTCTTCACATTTAAATTAATTAAAATACAACTTTACTCCCTCACACTAACCACATGTCAAGTGCACATGTGGCTAGTGGCTACTGTATTGGACAGTGCAGATATAGAGCATTTCCTTCACCATGGAAAGTTCTTTTGGACAGCTCTGGTCTGGGAAGGAGCCTGAGATGGGATCCAGGAATCCCTCGTGGGTTCCAGTTCCAGGCTTGCCCAATAATTTGTGTGGCTTTGGGCAAGTCACATCTCCCCTCTGGGCCTCAGTCTTCTCATCTGTGGGAGGGGAGAGGAGCCCTGGTCCTCCCCAGGGCTGGGAAAAGTGTAGAGGGAGAGGGTCAGGGCAGGGCCCTGGCTGGGCAGAGGGCAGGGGCTGGAAATGCCTAGAGGTAAGACTGGTTCCGCCCCAGACTGAGGGAAGGGTCTCAGCCCTGGAGACAGCAAGGCATGAGCCCCAGACTCTGGTCCGTGGCCTGGTGCCTTGATGGGGGTAGGGGGCCCGTCCACCCTCCATGCCTGGGTTTCTCACCTGCAGAGCTGGGAGGGAGGGGCTGTGGTGGCCTGGTGCTTCTCAGGTCTCCACTCTGCTCAGTGTGCCAGGCCTGCCTTATAAAGCCCTCAAAGTCCCTCCCAAGCCCCACCCCATGAGGCCAGTCTCCCCCCAGGGACAGGGAATGGGGCGCAGGTACAGCCCATCACCCCTACCACACCCTGTGACCCAGGAAGTGGGGGAAGGGAGGGAGTTGGCCTCCATGGTGAGGGGCTAGAGCAGGGTGGGGACAGGTCTTCAGCTGGCGTGAGGCGTCAGGAGGAGACAAGTCCCCTGGGTCAGGAACAGCGTGCCCCCTCCCCATCCTTGGGGTCGGATGCCTGGTGCTCAGCCCTTGGGATCACGTCCTGTGGGCGGGGGCAGGTGAGGGGAATGAATCCAACGACCTTAGATTCAGAGGAAGCATTTTTCATCATACGCTGATGTTTGATGGGCAGGGAGTGTGTGTGTGAGGGTGGTGTATTGATCCCTGGTCCCCTCCGCTGGGCTCTGCAAACATGCCGTGCTGTAGTTATCAGGGGCAATGGGCCGTGGGCTGATGGCCGTGCTCTCTCTGCCTAGTGGCTCACGTCCTGGTCACCTCTGAACCCCCTCACCCTCTCCTTACCTGGAGAACCCTTGGTATTTCTGTGCTGGCTTGTGGCTCCCTCTCCATCTGCCTAGGTTGCCACCCATCCCCCACCACCTGCAACCCTCGCCCCAGAGCCAATTCCTTGAGGGTCCTGAGTTTCGGGGCTCCCTCATTTTGCTTTCACAGGGAGCTAGTAATCTGCATAAAGCAGTCACAGCTTTTCTCTATAAAAATACCTCTTAAAATGGTTAGCAAATGGACAAAAGCATTTGCCAAAGATGTGCTGGAAAACAAAATGGTACGCCTGTTGACTTATTTTTTAAATTGCTGCCTCGACATAGTCTGGATGGATGTAATGAGCTCTAGGCTGTTTTCGATATTTCCACAGTTGAGACTAGAGACTCTGCTGTTGTTCATGCGTCATCAGGGGCCCCTCCTTGTCTGGGGGAGTTGTGATGCCCCTTGCGTCTCGGATGAGGGCAGCGGTACCCACGCTCTCAGCCAGCCTTGCTGAGAATTAACAGGTGATGAAGGAAGTAGGCTGCACGGTGTCCATGGCAACCAGTGGCCAAATGTTCTGGTGAATAACCACTCTCATCCAGAGCAGGACACAGTGACTCAGCAGACGGAATAAATCGAAAAACAACAGAAACAGCACAAGCGTTGGCAATAATTAATTGAATCACAGAATCTCAGAGGTGGAAGGACTTTGAGGAGGTTTAGGGGAAAGGATGGGGTGGGAGCAGCTCTGCTCACACCCCGGGGAAATGGAGGTGTTAGTGTTGCTGTGGTAACGGGAAATGATAAGCTTTTAGCACAGCCCTGGTTGTACCAGAGCCCAAGACTTGGTTTCTGCCTGTGGAAGGGGTTCAGGCCCCTTGGCTCTTCTTCCCCGGGCTGATTGCGAGATGGACGGCAATTCCACCAAAGAAAAGCGTGTCTCCCACTCTACAGGCGGTGGTGGGTGTCGCTGTTTGCAGGCACTGCCAGGCATGCAGGAGGGGTCTGTTCAGAGATGGGAGAGACAGCCTTGGCCCCAAGGAGCTTGCAGTCACAGAAACTGCAGTTCTCCTCACAAAGGGACCTTGTCTGTTGGAAAGGGAAAGGTTTCCTGGTCCTTTCCTGGCTGTTCAGCTTTGGGCAAAATCTCTCCCCCTCTCTGAGCTATTTTCTCCTCCAGGAAATAAGGGAAATAACTTGGTGGTTGGGGGCAGTTTGGTCCTGTGAAGGTATGTACATAAAGCATTCTGCAGAGGGCCCAGAACATCACCGGTATTTAATTCGTTTTGCATCTTTTCCCCCTTGTCCTCCCTGGGTCTCAGTTAGCCTCATCTGTGAAATGGGAATCCTTCATTCCTACCTCACAGGGCTGCAGCGAAGGGAAATGTGACAAGGTCTGTGCACACGCTTTGTACACTTGGGGAGCTTTTCCTCCCGCCAAGGCTTAAAAAAGGGTAACTTTCTAAAAATCATTGCTCTGTGAATCCAAGGTTTTTTCTCTCACTAGCCGTGACTCAGAGGGACACCTGCCCACTTGCTACTGAAAGAGGCGGTAGCAATAGAGTCGATGGAGGCTGGATCTATCGGTGTGCGTGGGGTTTGGAACTGTGAGACCAGGGTTTGAATCTTGGTTCTAACACTGACTAGTCAGGTGACCAGAAACTCCAACTTCTGGGCCTACCAAGTTGGAGACCAGACCCTAGACCCTGGGACCCAACCCTATATCCCTTCAGGGGGCAGGTGTGTGGACCCTTCCCCTGCCATCACAATGACGACAATGCCGTGTGCCAGACACTGAGAAGCCCTTTGTATGAACGAAGGCAGTTACTCTCCATGATCCGAGGACATAAGTGCTATTATGAACCCATTCTTCAGATGAAGAAACTGAGCTTTAGACAGGTGAAGCAATTTCTGTCCTGGGTCCACACACCAAAAAGGAGAGCTGGGTCTGACACTTAGGACTCTATCCTCCCAGGAGGGGTATGGTAGGCAGAATGATGGTCCCCCTCATGATGTCACTGACCCAATCCCTAGAAACTGTAAATATATGCTGTTATGTGGAAAATGGGCTTTGCAAATGTGCTTAAGTTTATAGACTTTCAAATAGGCAGCTTATGCTGGATTATCTCACTGGTCCCAATTTAATCATACAGCCCTTAAGAACAGAAAACTTTCTTCAGCTAGATGTGGCTGAAGGACAGATTAGGGATCTGGAGTTATGAGAGGGACTCCACGAGCAGTTGCTGGCCTGAAGTTGGTGGGGGAGGGCCACAGGATGAGGAATACAGGTGGCCTTAAGGAACTGAGAGGGGCCCTCTGTGGACAGTCAGGAAACAGGGACATCAGACAACAACCACAAAGAACTAAATTTAGCCAGCAACCTGAATGAACTTGGATGTGGGTTTATCCCCAGAGCCTCCAGAAAGGAGCACAGCCCTGCTGATACCTTGATTTCGGCCTCGTGAGACCCTAGCAGAGGACTCAGTGAGCCACTCTGTACCTGGATTTCTG